TGGAATCAGCTGGCACTCGTGGAATGGCTACACTCCCATTATCTTGCATCCCAAAATGTCTGCAGACATATAGTGTTTCAACTGAAGTGCTAAAGTGTACTTCTCTAAGTGTGTTAAGTTCAAATACATTTCCTGAAGAGGATGCTGAAGGTTACAGCGGTGTTTCCCCTTCAGTTTCATTCTTATCAAACAGGAAGCGCTTCTGAACATGTAACTGGATCATGACGACTGGCGCTTTAGCTGATTTTCATTATCAGTTAAAAGTACAATTACTTGATTGATTACTCTGTCAAATGTCAGACAATGCTAAGCAGCAACGTCTCACTTTTGAGAAGCTGAAAGAAAGTTTGGCATTTTTGCTTGAATTGTGTTAGGTTCAATTAAAATGTCCACTTTTGTAACAGGAAGTCTTCATTTTTGTTCTTAGAATTCTTCTGAAAACACATCTGGATACCCACAATCATCAAAAAGATCTCATTTCAGGTGTCTGAGCTTGCACAATGCATACATATCAGTGTGTGATAGAGATTAAACTGACCTATTGTTCAACACCGTTCACCTGAGGCAGACAAACCAAAACAGAATCAACTATAATACAGAGAAATGTTTCTAACCAAGGAGAAGAACTCACTGATATCTGCTCAATGATAAAAGCTTTAAGTCAACAGAAGAGTAGATTCCTCTTGTACCCACCACACCCCAATCAGGTTGATCCTGCTACACAATCAGCCAATCGACAGACAACCAATCAAAGAGTCTGTTCCTTTAATTCTCTACAGAGCATTGTCTATTGTTGTTAGGGAACGGGCTTTTTAGTCAACCTTCCTCAAACATTTTCAGTTCATTCTTTTAACTGTTGTTTTGGAACAGGGAGGCAGGCAGTGTAGAGACGATGGCGAATGCATTGTTTGATCCATTTGTCCATCTGAGAAAATGTCACTCACAGCTCGTCCTGAGCCAACCCAGGCCATCTGAAGCGGCTCCGCCCGCCTGCCTGCCTGCCAGCCAGTCACACAGAAAGCATGTGAAAGTGGGCGACAAAAGAACAAACTAACATTGTGTCCAGCTGCCCACCTTGGCAGTAATAGAAAAAAAATCTGTGTGTGAGTGTGTTGTGTTGCAAGTCTGGGCACTAGTGGGGTGTGTCAGGGAAGCTGGCTACAAACAACTTCAGGCTGCCTACTTTGTGATTAGGTCCAAAAAAGCTGCAATTATTAAGCATCAGAGTAGAAAAGAGAGATTTCTTGTGTGACAGAAACAAATATTGGTGTGTTTAAAGATAAAATAAGCTCCAACAGGCTGTGTAAAAATCAGGAAAATGACTGCGAGTTACATCAAATTATCCCGTCTACCTCCGTATCTTTCCATCGGTTACAGCTGTTGACTGTAAAGTCTGTTCAGATGTGCGTTCATGTCACAGTCCAGCCTCAATCCCTTCTGTGCAAACAGAATGACGGACTGAGTCGGCTGTTAGCGTAGGAAAATGAAGACCGATAAACATCACTCAGTGACCACAATTGATTCTGCCACTGTAACACTGCTGATTTATGAGTGTACGTGTTCCACATTTAGTGCCACACTCCTGATACGAGCTACGGGAAGGGAATACGTCTCTTTCTGCAAATAGCTAAATTGCTCTGATTTGCATGCTTGCATTGGGTCATTTACACATTTGCATGAATTACATTTTTTAGAATCTAATGATTTATCCTTTTTGTGAATGAACCGAACTCTGCTGCATCGGATGAGAAAGGTGGGACATGTTCTAATTAATCCGATTTTAAAAAGTCACCAGCGTTGCCAACTGCTCCGGGCCCTTTGGCTTGTGTACTTTACTGCTTTCCTTGTTAGCTCATCCACTCATACTTTCGCCCTGCCTCATGAAGAGAAGGAGAAATATGTGCAGCCTAACGGTCGCTGAGAAGCTGGATTTGCATGTACCGCCTGCCACACTGCCCAGAGTTACAATAAAACCTCTGGTAGCGTCACTGCGTACTTCGACATGTTTCAACGTGTGGTGGATCCGAGAGCAGTGAGAAAGACTTAATAACATGTTTGTCAGGCGAGGAGCATTGCCTGTAACAAACTGCAGTTAGCTGGACCCAGCTGGGCGCAGTCCAGGTACTCTGGGGTGTTGAGAAATTTTGCTCAAAATACTAAACGGACAACTGGAAACACACTGCAAAGACAAACCTCTGCTTCAGCCAAAGAAACAGACTCACGCTGTACAACTCTGGGAAACTTTGAATTTTATTCAAATAGAGCCAACTGAGTAAAATCCTGACTGCTGCCAAATGTCTTCTTTTAAGCATCGTCATCCATCTTTCCACCTGCATTTTTCTTTTTTTGTGTTTACTGAACAGAAAAGACTGTTAACACAAGCAGATAAAGTCCTGATCCTGGAGGTGTCCTCATGGCTCCATTAGGTGCAAACTAAACATCTCCAGTGTTCTGGGTTCAAATGTAAACGGAGGCTAACTGTCACATCCCATCTCGTTGTGTCCTCCCTCAGAGTTTCCTGTCTCTCGTGCTCCACTGTGGACACCAAAAAATCCTGAGCATTGCTGTCTTTTTCCCCTCTTGTATTACTCAACTGAATAAATGTGCAGAAGTCAGCATGACGGAAAACTCTGCCTCCGACAAAACACTCCTGTTTTTGACCTCTCACTCGTCACACACAACAAGAACAAACCCATTCCCACACTCATTAAATCCACTTCTCTCTTGATATTCCTGCGGGAGGCATTTGCTCACTTTTGCGCAATAACTGGCACAGTGAGCGTGAATACACCGCAGGAATTTGCCCTTGGTTCCCCCGCCTCACCGGGGCCGGCACAGCTCGAGCTTGGCAGGGGAACGTGTCCCCAGCCTGCACTGCTCCCAGTCAACCAAACACCTATCAGCCTCTGCTGATGAGTGAAGATTTGGGAATGAAGAGGAATGGAACTCAGCCCAGGTTTTACACAACAAGCCTCGCTCTGTTAATGATTGGTCAGGTAGATTTTCCTTTTGAGGGAACTTTAACCTCTGCCATCCTTACACAAATACACACAAGAGTCCCCACAGTCGACTAACCAGCACGAGTTAGCAGTGAAGGACTGGGCCCTCCAGGTTTGATGCTAATGAACAGCAGGAATGTCTCACGTTGACAGCTATAATGCTGAGTGGCCTAATAAAAATGCACGATTCACTGCTTGGCATGCTGTCACACCACCAGAAAGTATGCCAGTCATCTGGCTAGTTAGTGAGTAAGATAGTGTGTGTAGTCTGGTTAGTGCTGCACACCCTCTCAATCATTCCACACTGTTAAACAATGGTTCTTCATCCTTCAGTAACTGCCTCTGCTCTGCCTTACGAGGATTTAGAGGGCCGGAAAGAGTTCCCCAAGCTGAATGTGTGTGACACATTTGTTCTAGCATAGTGAACGCCTAAAGAGGGAACTCTGGGTAAAAAATAACAAGGTCACCTTCTAGTGAATATTAGTGGATGCTTTCATTGCCATCCTCAAAAGGGGAAATTGCACACAGGTAGCCAAAGTATTACAAGAAGCAACATTAGCATTAATTGTAGCACTTGGAGGATGAGGAGATGAGGATGGAGAGCTGATGAAGATGAAGAGTGCTTGTTTTAAATAAATAAAAAAAGGTCCAATGCTGCGTAAATGTTAATGACTGCTGATGGGTTGGGGGGGTGACAAGTAGCACGACTGTTATTCAGATACTGAACGGTGGGGGGGGGTGTTATTTGGTGTCTAAATATTTTTGTAGAATATTACAGTAGCTAAAATTCTGCAGCAGAGCAAGTGGGCGTTGAGTTGTGTGCAGTAAAAGGAGTGTGGATACAGAAAGGTGCATGTCCCAGGGCTCTGGGAATAACAGGAGCATAAGAGTGACTGTCACACCAGAGACAACAATACTTAGCAAATACTGCTCATGACAGCGGCCTTGTTTAGTCTGAACACCGAGGTGTTGCACATGTCAGACCAGCAGTGTGTGTCCCTGGATGTACAAACCAGTCAGTAAATGTGTTATATGGTTTTATCTCGCTGTAATGTTTTAGATTTCTGGCTGCTTCAAAGTAAAAAAAAAAAAAGAAAAGAAAAATGGCTGTAAATCTTCAAATACTCTTTAGAAAAGTTGCCAACCATGTGAGGACTTCCACCAAAGGCCATTAGTTATAATCCAACCTGCCAAGAGTTGAGTGTGGCAATACAAAAAACAACAACCATAAAACCCCTGACTGCTGGTTTTTAATACAAACAGGATTAAATGAGGATATAATGAATCACAGCAGCTTTACAGTTAACTGATATCGGCCTGGAGCACCGCGGTATCGGGCCGCTCTTCCTGTACACAGCAGCACAATCTCGCCTCGCCTCACTCAGTCTTATCGGCCTCCAGGCAGCCAGTGCAAGTGGGACAGGACGGCTCGATAAGGCGCTAAACCCTCCACAAAAACACCCTTTCACTCGCTATTTTAAGCCCCGAATGTCAAACAATCACAATTCTGATTTTCTTTGCAACAATGTGGCGCCCTGTTTCCGCTCGGGGAGGGAAAAAAGTGCCGGGAAAAAAAAAAAAAAGATTAAAAAAAATTCACCCTTGAAGGAGTGAGAGCAGCAGCTAATGCTGGACACACAACCGGATACTTTAACATTCACAGAGGGAAGAAGGGCTGGAGGAAGAGGAGGAGGAGGAGGAGAAAGCAGCATTTAATCAGAGAGAAATGAAACAGCTTGACATTGAGGAGAGCCTCGGGAGGAGCGAAGAGGAGAGCCAGGCTGGGAGGAAGAAAATGGTTGGTATAAAGTGGGGCATTGGGAGCAGCTGCGGGGTTTATGGAGCAAAACCGAGGCCCGCACTCGGTCTCTGACCTCCACTCCCCATCCCATCCCTCCCCTGCCATTTTATTTCTGCCCGCCGCCGCCGCCTCCTCCTCCTCCTCCTCCTCTCAGCCCCGGCTCGACTCGGCCCAGCTGGGCCCGACTTTGGTTCCCTTACCTTCCTCTGCTGTTTCTCCCAGGCCGGGTCCAGCAGAAGGTCCCGGTCCCAATCATTCTCTTGCTCCATGTATGTCTGAACCCCGCCTGCCGAGGATTGGTTATTGGCAGCGTGATAATCTACCATGTCAGCCGAACGAAACCTGAGTGCGCCACAGAGAGACTGCCAGGAGTGGGGGAAACGTAGAAAAACAAAAAATAAAGAATTGGGGTAAAAAAAAAAAAAAAACGACGGCCCAAAATCAGAAACGGTGGGACGGGGAGGGATACACGACCCAGGGAAGAGTCCTTCTTCTCTCGCCGCTTTCAGTACTGAGTGTGTGTTTTTTAATGTGTGTGCAGTCACACAATCCCCGCTGCTGCTGCTGCTGCTGCTGCTGCGAGAAGAAAAGCTTTCCCTGTGAGCTGAGAGAGGCTGCTGGGAGGAACCGGCCGCTCCTACAGGCTGCAGGCAAGCTGGACGCAGCGAGCCGCGGCGCTTCCGGTGGACCCTTTCAGAGTAAAGCGTTGTGCTGCTTGTGCGTGGTTTGACTTTATTGGCCACAAAACTACAAACCTGCACAAATACCAGTTAAAACAAGTCTTTTGGTGATTGTTTGTTTCGTCAGTGTATTCCTAGTTTATAACGCAGGAGGTCTTTTTTTGTCTTTCTCTCTTTAGCCCAAATATAACTTTACACCAACCATTAAAAGAAAGGCCCTTATCACCCGTAGACTGTAATAATATATTTTTTATAGGAGCAAAAGTATGAATATTATATAACCTTTCAGCTAGCTACAGTAGTTATATCCCGGCCTAATATCAAAGACACTGGATCCATTTATAGATTTCACTGTTTTTATTAACAGAAACCTTAAAATCAAAAATAAGAAATATATTTAATCAATTAGCCTATAAATTAGTCCTTGTTGTTCATCTTCTACAATAGCATATTCCATAATATTCATGCATTCATCTTGTGTTGCATTTGTTTGCAAAAGAAGTGCAAAAAGTCACTTTGGAAGTCCCTCGAAGTTATGATATTTTATTTTGAAAGCGCCGTCGCTTCCTGTGTTGTGTGTGTGTGTGTGTGTGTGTGTGTGTGTGTGTGTGTGTGGACTGACACACCTGCTCTATAAACCCAGACAGCTCATAAATATTCATCACATTTGAACGTGAGCTGCTAAAATAAGGAAACATTATAAATATGAAATATTGAACCGTTGAGAACTAACGATGGAGCAGTGTGTGTGTGTGTGTGTGTGTGTGTGTGTGTGTGTGTGTGTGTGTGTGTGTGTGTGTGTGTGTGTGTGTGTGTTCTTTTACTGTTAACATTATGTTAAACCAATCAGTAAACAAAACTTCTGTTACAGATAAATTATTCTTTAACTTCGAGGACATGAAACTCCAAACAGGCACATTTATAAAGTTTCATATTCTTCTGATTTAATACATTTTATTTTGTAGGCAAACTGATATTTGCCTTAAAAGGCCATACCAGACCACCTACAGCTCATTTCTACAAACTCACTACACTTCACAGCATTCTGCAGACCATGCTGCTGTGTTTCTGCTCCTGGCAGCCATTGTTTTCCATTAATTTCTGTACACAGTGGAAATGGAGAAAATTAAATGTTTTTTTTATTCTGTTAAGTTTCATTGTGGGATGATGTGATAATACTGAAGATCATTGAAATCGATCTCCGTACAATGAAGTTAATGTAACTTAACTTCACAGAGTTTGTGTTTGGATTAACCAACTTGAGCAAGATTCATTAGTTTTTTTTTTTATTGTATCAGAATAACCTGTTTAAATTAAATTAAATGAATTAAACACCCCCAACAGTGGCCTGTTAGTCTAAATCTAAATATGTATAGCACGCATTTGAAAATGGTCAGCTAAAGTGTAAACATGATTTAAAGTAAGGAGCTAAAACACCAGCGTTGTCCTTTAAGATGCAGAGACAGTATGTTGTGTATTCTAGTTAATTTGAAGTAAAAATGATGCTAATAATGAAAAAATACTGAGCTCCAAGTCAGATTATTCTGTTTACAACTGCTCATCTCTGAACTGTTGTTGATAAGAGAATAACGTCCGCTTCATATCAGGTCAATGTTAATATTCATAAGTAATCAAAAACATTTAACAATAAATGCTCAATAACAATAAACGATACATATATAATAATACATGTGGTTTTCTTGTCTTTTTTTAATAAATAAATCCCATCACTTTTACTTACTTTATTAATATTAACCTTATATCAGTCAAAACATCAAACCAATAGTGCCACCTATCATATCAATTAAACTGCTAATTGATCTTTAATTTGTTTACATAAATTCATCAGATAAGTTCAGAGAGGAGAAGAAGAGAAACCATCGTGTGAGACAACACATAGAGTCCAGTGAAAGAAGAGAACGAGATCCAAGTGAACATTTCTCGCTCGAGTTAAAGATAAAAGTACAATTATGGTTCTGAGGTTGTCATACGTTAATGTGGTGCCAGAAGATGTTTAATCGGATGTTTAATCGGATGTTTAATCGGATGTTTAATTCAGATTTAGTGTCCTTGATTATTCTCCCCTTTTAAATCTTTGCTATGTAAGACGTCAAACAGTCTCCAGTGTCTCGGCCTCCTCTCGTAATGAAAAAATGAACTGAGAAGGGGAAATGAATCTTTGGTGGTTGATTCATGTCCGGCCTGTGACCATCAAAGGGGTCATGATGTAATTCGTTTGAGAACCACTGACCCAGAGCTCTGACACTCATAAAACACAAAGGCCCGAGCTGCAGTGTAATCCATTACATCTGCTGAGTGAGGTGCAGGCCGGTGTGGAGGGTGACTGTCCTGCCTGCAGGAGCCACCTACAGAAGTAGGTCATGCTCAGGCTGTCCTGGTCGATTAGCGTCACTGCGGCAGGGAGCAGCCTGCAGACCGAAGCAGGGACCATGCCTCAGCTTTGATGTTGTCATGTGATGCCATCTAGTGCGGCTCTGCTACTAACAGCTCTGTGATTGGCCACAACAGGCCTGAGTCATAATTACAGTCTGAGTCTGGGCTCATATGAACAGACTGTTTATTTTTTTAAAGAGGGGCTGAACAAAGAGAAGTTGAGTCCTGAGTGTAGCTGGGGATGTTTACACAGAGGGTGAATGCTGAGGCACAAAAACGCAATCACTGTTTTGTGTGTGTCTGTCTGTTGATAATATCAGGTGTAACAAGGACACTATTTCTGGGGAAAAGGTGCTTCTTGTAAAATATTTCTATTTTATTTTAAGTCGGGAGAGTTAGAAATAAAATTAAATTCTCCTCCTTTGATCTGAGGGTAGCAGTAGATATTTCAGAGACAGATATCTCAAACCTGGGTAAATAAACACAAAAGATATCTGTGTGGACACAAACCAGTTGAGGCAATTTAGAAAATATGTTTGTTTGTTGGTTTTTTTATGTCATGTGATATTTGTTCTGGTCCGGATTTGTCAAAAATGTTAAGACTCTCACTGGTTGAGCCCACACAGTCCTTACTATCTGGACCATACAGTGAGGATGCTTTTATTTTAATATAAATAAGTTAAAGTGGGATAACAAAGGAAGGAGAGAGCAAAGAAAACACAAAAAGAAAGAGTGAGATAAAAGAGAGAGCTACAGGAAGGCAGACAGTGTGTTGGGGTGTGGCTGATGTACGAATATCACATGCCATCCTAAAAGTCAGTTTAAACCAACACAACAGTAGCACAACAGGATATTGAACACACAAACACACACACACACACACACACACACACACACACACACACACACACACACACAGACAATCTCTGGTATTTGTATATCTGACTGTTCTCACTTTAAAGAATGATGCTGGGAGACGGATATTTACACATACCAGACATCAGCAAAGAACAGAGGGTCATTTCTCAAAATATCCCCTGTGGTTGGGGTCACTGCACAGACAGACCCCGTACAACAGTTGCAAAGAAGTCCGAGGCTAGTATAAATAACTGGTTTAGATTGTTTCAATCACGGCCTGGAGAGAAGGAAAAAGGCCACATGATGAGGAATTCAGTAAAAGTTCAACAAAACATCTGTGACAGAGTTTCTGAGGTCAGCGAGAGAGATGAGGGAGTCGATCTTATTCATGACACAACCAGATGACTTACATATTTAAACAGAACATAGATGACAGCACATGAATTTTAATCAGTGTTTTACAAATGAATGTGGTACCAAAGTGACAGGAGCTCACTGGAAGGTTATTTTCTTATTTTATTTATTATATTTATACTTATTTGTGTGTATTTTTAACGTTTATATATCCTGTTGACTGTTCTCTTTGTTCATAAAATCTCTAATCTTAGCAGAAACACACAAAAAACACATTATTAGGAGGATCTATTGGCACAAATTGAATATAATATTCAGAGGTATGTTGTAATTAGCGTATAATCCCCTAAGAAGAAAGGCCACCATCTTGAAGATACCAGTTCTGATAGTATTGAAACAAACTGTACCTCACAGACTTAGACTCTTTTTATATTCTTTATTCACATTATGCTGAAACAAAGCCCAACATTTTGTTATTATCACTTTATATAAAATTTTTTACAACCGCGTGCAAATAATTAAATGCATAACGGACGATAATGAAATGATTATTGTCGACATCTAAATGATGCTTTTGTAGTCTATTTTAGTGTTGACTATTACTAAGGGAAGTTATTTTAGACCACTGTTAGGATTTTATGTATAGACTAGAGGTGGCAGGGTCTAAAATTCCTAATTTAGGCTGACAAATGAAGTGTCACTAATACAGTAAATCATAAACCTTTCCTCATAGCAGCCCACCTTATTTCAACCTTTGACCCCGAATGTTTCCATGACTGAAGGAAGTTCACTGTTACTGTTTGACTACACTATGACAACATACAAGATACACATAAATGGCAAAAGGAGGCTTTTTTTTTGGTTTGCTACTTGTTTCTATCCTTGAACTATACGTCCATTCACACAAAAATAAACACAGAGTACATTAAACAGAAAACAGAAACAGATCCTGGTGAATCCGTCTCAGTGGACCAGGACAGGTCAGTTGTACATGGTCATGTGGAGCCACTGGAACCAATCAGAACCAACAGAAAACATTTAGTTTTAATATGAATATACTTATACGTTTTGTGACAAATCTGCCAAACTAAGATGTAAATAATAAAGTCATTCACATAATAAAAAATAAAATGTGTCTACTCATGTATTTCTATTCAAAGTATCTGTTACTGAGGCAGATAAAGAGGAAGGAGTCAGTGTTGCTGTACGGATATAAATGTATGTTCACACCTGTCTGTAGCTGACAGTCACGGTTCCCATTCCCACCATGTCATACGCTTGAAATTTATCTGCAACAGAGAAACAAAAAAAGAAAAGACCAACTGAGAGACATTCGATCTGTGATGACAATTAATTGTTTCTGTTGTGTCGTGCCTGTAGTACCAGTGGGCAGAATCCACCCATCTGAACTTGACGTGAGCCAAAACAAACTATGTAAAGTCTTTCAAATCGCCATTGCCAGCTGAAACCCAAATGTTAGTTTTGGAATCAGATTTTAACTTTTTATAGATACATTCATGGTAGTTAAAATGTATGAAGGTCAGATAGTTTTAATAACAGTGCAGCTATTTGATTATTGTCGCTTTCAGTCTAGTTTTTAGTCAAGAACTTCTCGGAGGGCAGACTCATTCTCAGTAAGGCTAAAGAAACTGAAACAACTGTCTGTTTTCACAGAGACAGATACGTTTGCATCTTAGTGCCAGTGTGTGAGATTCAGTGGTATCTATTGCAGATAGATAGGTAGATAGATAGAAAGATAGATAGATACATAGATAGATAGATAGATAGACAGACAGACAGACAGACAGACAGACAGACAGACAGACAGACAGACAGATAGGTAGATAGATAGATAGACAGACAGACAGACAGACAGACAGACAGACAGATAGATAGGTTAGGTAGATAGATAAAAAGATAGACAGACAGACAGACAGACAGACAGACAGACAGATAGATAGATAGATAGATAGATAGATAGATAGATAGATAGATAGATAGATAGATAGATAGATAGAAACTTTATTTATCCCCAAGGGGTAATTCACAGCAGTATCCACAGACTGATAATAACATAACAAAATAACAACAACAGGAGGCAAAATGCAAAAGAACCAATAAAATAAAATCAATAGCAAAATAACGAGCATTGGGTGAGTGGCCTAAGGTGTGCATCTGTCCCTTTTCACTTCCTCTTCTTCTTTTCCATATAGTCGGTTGATGTGTTCACATCTCAACATCCCTGTAATACAAACTCTGTATTGTGAACTAAACACGTCGGCCTTGTAGTGACAATTAGCAGCAGTGTTTGTTGGATTTAATAATTTTGGATACAGTTATAAGTTATTTAAACATGTTATTCTTTTTGATTTGTAGCATCCAGCTTCTCTGCCTTTTAGGAATACTGTGACAATGTGCCATTTGTCTTACTCCCTCTTTCCCCATCCCCCTCTCTTACGGATCATGCTCTCCAGTTTCATCAGCAGGTACAGGAAGCCGGGGTAACTGATGGTCATATCGGGCTCCGTGTATCTCAGTCCAACCAGCTGCATTATTAAATCATCCACCATGATTCCTGCAGCAGAGACAGACCAGACAAACAGATGCAGTGACAACGGGCAGGTCAGTCTCTTACAGTTAAAGTCAGTGGACCCTCACACACGTACAGCTTTCTACCAGGCTGTTATAAATGTATTAGCGCTTACTGAGCGCCAGTTCAGCACCGCTGTAACGAATAAACAGAAGAAGGAAGAGTGTTATGCGTAGTAATATTCCTTTACTAACACTAACTTTCATTTTGGGTATGATTATGACTGTTTCATAACCGGTTAAAAACTCCAGGTAGCAGGTTTAAGTAAAAGCAGTTTAAAAATGTACTCCTTAAGTGACTCACTTACTGAGTGACTCATTAGAGGTGAACCAAATGGTGGGTGTGATTTTTATGACTCCAAAAGGCTGAGAGGACAAAGTTCACACCAGAAAATAAGAAAAAATAAAGAGCACCAACAAAAGAAAGCCAGAATATTCTTTACTGACTGACGCTTCACAGCCAATGGCCTCACAGTTATACAGAATTTGTACTCTGTATTGGATATAATCTGAATGTAGTGAGGTTTACTGCCCTACTTTAGTATACATTCACTTTCCTCATGCATAATCTGAATCTAAACAAAAAGGCTGAGCCACTACCAAACTGACTGACGGTCTTTTAATACAGTTAGTTTACATCAGTAATGTCTGAAAACACAAGAGCAACTGTGTCTTCAGCCCTGATAGCTTGAGAAACACAAACATGATTATTCTTACACTTTAATTACATCTGTATGTACATATGTAAACTATAATGTAGTCAGATTTTCTTCCAGTTTTGAGAATGGACTATGTTAAACAGCAGAGAGGTAAAAAGAGGTGCTTTGGCTCCCCCTGTTGGTCAGGATGTGGAAATACACATTAACCGTGTGTACGTCGCTGTGTGTCCTCAGTCCTACCTGCTGCCTTCAGAGCGGGGCTGACCTCTTGATACTCAAGGCGCTGAGTCTTGTTCTTATCATACACCAGGAAGATATCCTGAGGAAAGATTCAACACAACACATGCATGAGAAACTGCACACACACTCACACAATGTCTGTCTTACGATGCAATTCTTCAAACCCCTGTTCTGTTACAATTTATTTTGGTCTCTGATATAAAAGAGTTGATCATTTTGCAACGCTTAAAGACGGAAAGAAGCAGTGTATTTAGGGAGTGAGAGCTCCAGCCAGTACATCTGCACACTGATTTCTGCCTGCAGCTTCAACACATCAGTCATGTGCTGTTCTTGTTGATGTTACTGTTGTTGTTGTGTTGATAACCTTACCGTCCACCTCCGGATCTTGTCCCACAGACTCTGGAACTCGGGCCAGTTGAGCTGAGCGATGCCTTGGCTCTGAGGAAAACGCTGAGGTCAAAGAAATCAACAAGACAAATCCAAACAATCCTTGAGGGTTTTGTTGGTGTTTGTAGCAGTCAGTAGCTATTATATTTTCTCTCTGCACTGCATTATGGGATAGTGGTGTACTACTATTTTTATATCTTTACATGGAACTGAGGTACAAATACTGACTCTTAAATTGTAGTTGTGGCGTATTTTACTTCATTTTAATCACCGACTTCCAGTGTGGAAATAGGACTGAAGTAAACCACACAACTCAGAGGAGTCAGTAGAGACTGGAAGCTTAAAACTTTCACCGCCTGAACAGGACTGAGCTATCCAGGCTCTGTGAGTGTCTTTTCATAATGTACATGAAGAACGATCGATTAGACAACATTGATCTTTTGTTTTTTATCAGTTCTTCACTTCATCAGTTCATTTTTCAAGGATACATCCATGAGGACCACCATGCTCTTGCAGTGCTCCAGAGCCAAGTACTTCTCACTGCCGGCCAACACTGACAACAGAAAGTAAGATCATCATCAGACATTTTAACATGCAAACAATAACTGCAAACTTGTGCTGGATTTCTGACGTACAGGTGTTTTTAAAGCAAGAGGCTGAAACTGTTTTTATAAATCAAGACCGAGGTGGTATCAGGGTCCGACATATTGTTATTCTTATGGAAATGAACCGCCTATTTAAACAGAGATGGATGTCGATCCCTGGGTTAAAAAATGGTGATGTAAAGCCTTCTTTGCTGTACGTCCTCCTTTCTGCTGTGGCATCAGTTCCACTTCCTCTGTTCCTCGAAACTCTGAACTATCTGTCACCATCTCCTGCAGGCTATCAGCACTAGCTTTACAGCAGGATGTCATACTGAAAGTCTCGATGCCCTTCTCATTAACAAACATGTCAACAAAACTGGTGACTTATTTTGATTTCCTTTAGATGGAGACAGAGGGACTTAACAGGAGGAACTACTGAGATCAACTGGCTGATTCATTGACGAACCATTCAGTGTGGTGACCAACAATAAAAATAATAATGATCATCTAATTCTAACCTTAAACCTTACAAACATGCATCATGAAACACCAGGCAACCCTGAGCTCAGATAAAAACTGTAGGTTGCACAAAACACAAAGTAAGGCTTGATTTCTCCTTATCTGAGGCACTTACTTAAGAGTGTCACACAGAATCCCTTAAAGGGTTTCCTTGGTAAAAGAAGGAAATATTAAGGCATTTACTGCATTGAGATAGAGAAGATATTACAGCTCAAAATGTATTTGCTTGCACTCACACTTGTGATACCTGGTCTCTATAGCTAAATTCTCCATTCATGACCACTGTGCTGGATGTACACTCCTGTAACATGTTTCCAGACCAATCCCCCACAAACATGGGAAACTAAAATCCAAACCACTGTAGAAATGTCCCTATCAGACATTGTTGTGTTGATCTTGCTGCTTTGTACACAGAAACAACATAAGGGGTGACTTCCCCCAATCAGGAAAGGAATTCAATTTGGGAAACATTAATTCTGTTGAAATAAACAAGTCAGAACAAGGCTGTTGATTCGCCCCCATGAAAGCAGACATCACTGACCTCCTCCCTGTACGGCCTCAGTCAGCAGGCTGTGGAGGTGCACTGGTTTGCAAAAGCCGTTCTGACGACAGAAAGCAGGAAACAGTCATAACTCAAGATGTAACAGTTGGAGTAATACACACAGAGACAGGCACAGCTACAGTTGTGGTTTAAACATTGTATATGTATGAACCTGCTCGGAGCAGCAGAGAACCAAGGTGTTTTCCAATGTTGCAGAAATCCATGTGGCACCTTAAAGTAGGTTAAAGTTCAAACCTATTTCCAGATGTTAGTTGAGCTCTGGATGAACAGCACCTGTGTGTAAGTAGATCCCACCTTGTTGCAGTGCTTCATGAACAGAAGTTTGGTTGATTTAGGGGAGGGAAGAGCGGCCTGGTGAGGAAATGAAAGCTGCAGGGAAGAAAATACAGAGTCTGACATGTTGCCTCGATGCAGAGAGTTTGTAACCTAAACTAAATCAGCCCTACGAGAGTCAATATTATGTTCACATGTTCACATGTACACTCTTTAGTCAGGGCACACAGTGAGTAAAGCAGTCTGACATTCACTTTGTTTAACAATCATTTCTCTCTAAATTTATGTATTTATGTGTTTACAGTGTAGGTGTCAATGTCAGTGAGACAGGGGAACATGTAGATGCTCTGAGACAGGGCCTGGATAGCTCAGCCGGTAGAGCATCAGACTTTTAATCTGAGGGTCCAGGGTTCAAGTCCCTGTTCAGGCGAAACAAGTTTTAAAATGCTCGAAACAACAACACTGATTACCTGCTGCGCCTTAATTACAGACTGTACTGTACTCAGTATGAGCTTTACATGAGCTACCAGAGTACGTTCTCTTTGTGGTTAATTCACAGGAACAGAAACAAATGTAAACTGAATCATCTGGAATATCACACAGCACTATCCTTGACTTCTTAAAGGTTTCCTGAAATCTACAATTGTTACCAAGCAGTTATTTAATCACTGGGTCCCAAGTCTGTTTGGTTCAAACACTTTTACACATAATGTGAAAACCTGCAAAGAATCAGTACAGAGTTCACACAGAAGAAAGGGCAGTACCAGCTGTTAATGTGTGGGTCAGTGAAACTTCTGTGTCAACAACAAGATGCTTTTTCCTACACTTGCTGAGAAAGTTTCAAACATTTAACTCTATCTATCATTTATCTCACCCTGAACCCTCACAGCAGACAGTCGATGTCTGACTTCACTGAGACTCTCACAAGGTCTTTCCTGACTTTTATTTCCAACATTGATGATTTTATTTGAGTCAGGTGAATAATTATTACATATATATAATAATATCTAATTTATTTAGTAACTGATTGAACTTGTCTCTTACCTCTGTTACTGAAGGGATATCTTGTGGCCCTGGTTTGTGAGCTGGACTGGGGAAAAAAGCCACAAAAACATATTAAAAACATTATTTATATTTAGAAATACTTCAGTTCAATGTCTAAAGAAACTAGAGTTTAGAGACTCTGTCAGATCACGGTGGAGCTGACCGTAAATCAAACTGTTTGGGGATGAGTGCACTAAATAATTAACCTCCAAAACCTGCAGAGTTCAATTTAATTCAAGTCCCTATTTCGTGTTAATTTCTCTCCTTCATTAACAGTAAACTGTCCCGACCTGCAGCTGTATGCACTTCATTGTTGAATACTGATTCAAATGACTGTGTAATGCAGCATGTAACCTCCATTTCATTCTTATTATCTTTCATCCTCTCTGGGTGAGATGTGATTCTAAGTCCTTTGAGGTTTCTTTGTCTCATCAGCAGATTTGAGGGTCGTCTTCTTGCACACACTTTGATGGAGTCTGATGGGTATTTCTTATTACTTTCTCAGCTCCAGCAGCATCAAACCAAAAACAGAATCCAAACTCCATCGACAGGTTGATCCATGACTCACGTGGCTGCATTGCCTTGCTCTGTCAGCACCCGGAGGAGGAACGGTCCCTGCTGATTGGGCTCGGCGGTTGAAGGGATGATGACGTAACGACCTTGTGGAAGGACGCCGCGAAGAACAACCTCCCGACGTGAGGAGTACTGGGAGCTGCAGAGGACCGGGCGGAGCGCACTCAAGTCCTCAGGCGACAGGTACGTGTTCTTCGGATGGGCCTGGAGGGATAGCACCCGCTTTTAATACACGTACAGTTATACACTGAGGTTTAGCTTCTCAGTGGACGTCATCAATGACTAAACTTCACATTTCTTTCCCTACTGTTGCTTCAACCGACCGACCACAACTCAGAGAGACATCTGAAACGTAACACAGAGATACAACTACACACTGATTTTATGTCACAAGTCAAACAGTTTATAAACCACTGGTTTAATATTTAAAAATGTGTTGTTTTTATGTAAAAGCCTGTAGCAGAGTAAATAGTCCAGTATTTCCCTCTGAAATATAGTGGAGGAGAATATAAAGGAGCAAAGTACCTCAAAATAGTAATTAAGTAAAGTAAATGTACTTAAATGTTCAACAATCACTTCTGTGATTGTTGAATCCCGTTTGGTTTCAGTCTCCCTGTGAATAATGTGTGAATAATTTGATAATTTAATTAATAGCTGACATTATGGGTTTCACTGTGTGTTCGTATGTGTGTGTGTGTGTGTGTGTGTGTGTGTGTGTGTGTGTGTGTGTGTGTGTGTGTGTGTGTGTGTGTGTGTGTACCTTGTATATATGCAGGGCTATGGCCAGGTTAATGCCTCTGCGTCTCTGGTGTTTCTGCATCAGAGCCAAAATGAAGGAGCAGGTCTTCTCAGAAGTGTTGGCAGTGTCGCTGTCCACCTTCGACAGGACGAAGTGGAACTGAGGATTCTGCCAGAAAAAGCCTGGAAACACACACACACACACACACACACACACACACACACACACACACACACACACACTATTAGTGCTACACTAGTGCATTCTTTAGCCTTTAACCCTAAACTGAAGCGTGTAAGTGAATATTAAAGTGAACAGTTTCCTGCTTTCGTCTGTCACTATAGGGACACACAAACACTTCCTTTAAACTTTACACACATTGATTATAAATGTATACAACATGCATGCGGTTCATGTTATAAACAAATGTAAAGGCTCAAAATGCACCATCTCAGCTTCTACAGAGACCGAACAGATGTTTAGTATCAGGTTTGTTTCTGTGTGAAAGTTCCCTTGTATAGACGACCATCTGCTTTACACCATCTTCTATGTTCAGGTACAAACTAACACTCACTCAGAGTCACAATAACACAATGTGCATCAGGCTGGTACGATCAAACCTTATCTTAAAGTTGACATGAGCTAATTTGACCAGGAAATGGTTTAATCTTAGTCTTGTTTAACAATGCTGTGGCTGCTGTCGGAAATCATTTCTCTCTAAATCCCCAAATAAAATAAAAAGAGATAAAAAAGATATAGATGTGAAAAGCTCTGAGACAGAGCCTGGATAGCTCAGTCGGTAGAGCATCAGACTTTTAATCTGAGGGTCCAGGGTTCAAGTCCCTGTTCAGGCTAGACAAGTTTTAAAATGCTCGAAACAACAACAACACTGATGACCTGCTGTGCCTCACTCAGTATGAGCTTTACACAAGCTGCCAGAGTACGTTCTCTTTGTGGTTAATTCACAGGAACAGAAACAAATGTATACTGAATCATCTGGAATATCACACAGCACTATCCTTGACTTCTTAAAGGTTTCCTGAAATCTGCAATTGTTATCAAGCAGTTATTTAATCACTGGGTCTGTTTGGTTCACACACAAACATGCAAAGAATCAGTAAACAGTACAGAGTTCACACAGAAGAAAGGGCAGTACCAGCTGTTAATGTGTGGGTCAGTGAAACTTCTGTGTCAACAACAAGATGCTTTTTTCCTACACTAAGTTTCAAACATTTAACTCTATCTATCATTTATCTCACCCTGAACCCTCACAGCAGACAGTCCTACCGACTGTTGAGATACTTTTACCAGGAAATGATTCTATTGTCAATTAAATCTTAGTCCTATTCTCTCTTTTAATGTGGTGTGCTCAAACTTATAAAAACACAGCTCTCTGTGGTATCATCTGCAGCCAAAGCAACCATTTCAGCATCTAGAATTTTCTGCTCAGATCTTGTACAAACAATTAAGCACCACACCTACACAGACAGACAGACAGACAGACAGACAGACAGACAGACAGACAGACAGACAGACAGTGTGTTCTGTACTGTCTTAACTTGATTTGTTGACAACTAGCCCAAATAAGCGGATCAGTAATATTGTACAAACATTAAAATCAATGATTATTTCTGACTCCAGTACTTTCAACTTAATCTACAATGTACACAGAAGGTAAGAGGTGAGTGACAGGCAGACTTTACATTTTGAAATGAAACCTGTTGTGCAAAAAATGGCAAAGGGTGCGGTCTAAGACCAGTACAGCGAAATCATTTGCACTATAATAGCTCACTTAAAGGTCCAGTGTGGAACATTTAGGAGGATCTATTAGCAGCAATAGAATTTAATAATACTCACCTGAAAATAGGAATTTAGTCCCTGCATTTAACAGGTACCGTTACCATTGATAAACACATTGGTGTGAAGGTAATGGGGTCAGCTAAACTGTTCATTTTTACCAGTGGCCTAAATTAAACATAACATTTATTTCTACAGTAATAATTCCAGTGCAGTGGTGTTGTTCCCATCACCCTCCTGTTCACGCTCTTTATAACAGAAATAACATTTTCATGGGTCATGAGTGTGATCGACTGTACTTTGCTGTAATTTGTTTCATAAAGTTGCTGTTAATTAAACTTCCTTCTGTGAATGTCCCTGCAGATGTCTCACAGCCTTACAGGGAAAAGGGGATTATTCCTCCTGAACAGGGTGGAAGGCTTTTAACGTGAAACAGATGTTGAGTGCGGATTAACAGCAAACACAGCAAATGTAAATCACTGCAAATGGGAGCAGATTGGATGAAAAAAAAGGCTTCTTACTCAATTGTGATAATATGGTGATAATAACAAGTTTAATCAAATGACGGAACAGTTTGAGAGTTAAGGGTCCATATGGAACACATGCAAACAGTTATCAGGCACAGAACAGTAAACAGACACATTTTTCATCATGTATCGTCATGTGTCTTACCCCCGTGTGCTGGGCCTCCAGCTGAGATGCACGGCACCCAGTTACCATGATGCATTATGGAGGACCACGGCAGCACGCTGGAGCCTGGTTCATTGAGGGTCTCAGTCAGGTGACAAACCTCCATCAACTCAAAGTTCTGTCGGAAATCTGACACAGACATCCTGATGGAGAGAGAAACTGGTGAGCTGACAGGCCAGTTTGCTCATATGAGGTTTGATCTTTCCAGACTTAAAGACTCTTTCCGTAATTAAATCAGATTGAATTCCATTTATAAGACTAGTTGACATTTTGAAAATGGTTGAAAGATAAAAACCAACACACAGCCTAAAGTCCTGTCTTAGAAAGGAGAATTAAAAACATGTGTGCGAGAAAAAGCAATGTCATGGATAGGCCGACTTGTTTGCCTTGAGGTTCCTGTTGTGGTTGAGACTGACATGTCTCACAGTGTTTAGTTCTGTGTTTGCAGAAGGCGGACAAAGAGTCGGCAGGATGCATGTCACAGAGAGACACTCAGATATACAACAGCACTATAACTCACCAGAACTCCCCGTCCTCCCGTCTGACTCTTTCCAGTCTTTTCTGCTCCTCGTCGCTCACAGTGTTCCACTCTGGACTGGACAAAAAGAGAGAGACAGCGGAGACTTTTATATTTACGCCCCAAAATACACAAGTATTTCTGAAATTTACCACTCTCATATAAAACAACAGGTGAAGTTTCAGGTAGTTAATCTTGCAGGCTGACTCTTCATCTATAAATTTTCATTTAACAGTTGATTGAAAACCTAATTCTGCTCCTGTATGTGTGTACCGACCCTTTCAAGTCACTCCAGGGCCCCTCCCACTCAGTGTTGCCCCAGGGGTTGAGGATTCGCACTAAATCCACAGCGCCATGAGCCGTCTTCACCTGGCAGAGGAGGAGAAACAGACCGAAAGAAAAAGTGAGAGCAGTGGAAAGAACAGGCCATGCTTAATCTACATTTAAACTTTACTCTCTCTAGCCTCAGTAGAAAGAGTTCCCCTGCTCTCTGAGTGCACATACGCATCTTATAGCTTCATATTTACATCCAGAATCAGAGGGTTTTGTGATCAGGATTTGGCCTGAAAACCTATATATGACAAACATGCTGCTACCAAGTTTGTTGTTCGTTTGTTTTTATGAATGTTTTTCTAATCTGTTTTTGGATTTCATGAGAAGCAGATACAATTAGTGGTTATTTTATTCTTTCTTTTCCAGTTTTAGCCCTGTGAGATAAACTAAATATGAATGTTAACATGCATTTAAAAAAAATCTTATTTAAGGACATTTACCTCCTCTACAGCAGTCAGAGAGTATGCATGTCTGAACATGATCCCAAGTCCATTCCTTTGTTCCAAAGGACCCTGGAGGGAAAAAAAAAACATCCACCCACAGTTAGGACGGATGAAAAATGCAAAATTAAACTCCTGTGACTCATGTTCTGCTTCTGTGGTTCCCAGTATTTAAACTAGAGCTAACAAGCCTTTCATGCCACCGCTAACCTAACTGATCCTCACTGTACCTGGCAGTTGGCACAGTTGATGAGCGCTCCTTTAGCCAGCAGGTGTCTGAGGAAGGCCGGCAGCTCTCTGGGCAGTGAGGCGATGCTAAAAACCTCGGCCACCCCACCCGTCATATCAACCATGGCCTCATGAGGGAAGCCCATGTCCAGAGCTCTGTAGCCACCTTTCAGCCTGGGACAAAAGACACACGGAGGACAAAAACATCTGACTGATCCCACAACGACAAAGGCTGATGAGAACAATGTATTTACACAGATAAATAGATGAACAGATATTAGATAAGAGATTTTTACATTTTAGGGAGACATAAATGAGTAAATCCCTTCCAGTACTGAGGATTTTGTTCAGTGGAATAAATAACGTCCCTTCTGAGATTAGAGAGGAAAAAGCACGTAGAGATGAAAGGATGAGTCTGCCTTTTAACTTCCAGATGTCACAGATTTACTGTGCAGTTTGTTCTAAAACCCAAACCCCCAAAGAAGACACCTGTCAAATGTTTAAGTTCCGGGCTCACTTTTGCAACTTTGATGAATAGCCGCTTATTTTTAAGTTATGAAACCTGTGAATCCAGGCAACTAATTAAGAAGAAATGCTGACAGAAAGTTCATCCAGTTTTAAGACAGAACAGCTGGCTGACAAAATCCATGTCCGAAGGCATCTTCAAACAGGCAGATTGACAGGGAGATATGTAAGAGTTCAAGGTAAAATGACTGCACACAGAAAGAAACACCCTACAGACATCTGCATATTCTTTATATTTCTCTAGAAACTTCTGGGACAATATTTTATAGTTTTTCCATGTTTGTTATTTTTGGTTAAGATGATACATTAAGAGAAACATCACAGCTTCAAACATTAGAAGCACTTTTCTGCCCATTCTGGTTTATTTCAGTAATGAACATTTTGTCTTCAATATAAAACATAAAATGATATTTTCAGTTAAATATCATTATACATTATATGAGTCTCAATTCTGATTGTTTTCAGTGGTATCGATAATTATTGTTCATTTGAGGTGGAAAATCGAGGCACAGAGGTTTTTAATGTTTCGTTGTATGGTTTTATTGATGAGTATCTCTCCATCGTGGACTGCTTCTGGATTGATTCTTGGGATGTAACAGATAAAGGTCATGACAGATGACAGGTTACGTACTTTAAAGGGTGGAAAGGGGATATAGTGATTCGCTGTTCATGAGCCAGGGCGAATGTTCTTATTGCTATTGATGAAGTGTCTATTGATATATAATGCTGTTGTTTTATTGCCCAGGCCTACTTTGAAGTGCTCATGGGAGAAACATGATTACCATCACATTACAGTTCAGTGAAGGTTAATCTTATTACACACACACACACACACACACACAGATGATTGACAGGGACTCACTTGGCGTAGGCCTTCTCCAGCAGGGAGCTCCAGAACTCGTGTCTTTCTGGGGAGCTGAGGTAGATCAGATTGTTGTCCTGAGTCGGCAACAAGTCGTCTATCCTCACCTCCTCCCACTGACCGTACTGCCAGAACTGCAGAGAGAGAGTGGGAGTGGTGTTTTTGTCACAATGCCAGTGCCCTACTTTCACCAACAAAGTTTTATATCCATGTCAGGTTCATACATTTTCCAAAATCTGCCATCATGCAGAAATTGTTCACTAGGTGAAGGCGACATTATTGCACTCAACATCAACTCAAAGAAAGTCAGATATTCTAGAAGTTCCTTTGTGTCATTATCACTATATATAGACCGACAATTCAACCTGCACAGACCGCAGCATGTTAGGCATCGCTCAGGTATTTACCCTGAAGACGAAGCAGCCGTTGTAACCGTCCTGGAAGCTCTGTTCCAGAGGCATGACCTTCTTGAGCAGGGAGCGATGCATGGAGAGAGACGCGATGGCAGAAAGTAACCAGCAGTCATCTGAGGAAAGTTAGCTCAGGTTACCAGGAAGGTCCATCTTTTACTGTCTGCATTTCTCTTTCACAGCTTTAAATGCTGCTACTTGACACTCCAATATAACATTGAATGTGATTATGTTACTTTACGTTTAAAGGTTAGTAATATGTTGTATGGTTTTGTCTAATCCCTGTAAACTAAAACTAGACAAAAACATCCAAACCTACACTCCCCATACAGCAGACTGAACACCTGACCTGACCTCAGTTTGCTAGAAGTGTTATTGTTTACCCCACTTTATGATTTTAAAGACCACCTTCTACTCATATCTGCCTGTAAATACCAGTGTAGTTATAATTATTTGTAAAAAAGTTAATGCTTTTTACTCAACTGTCTTGTGGGAGAGATAAGCCTTCTGTTTCATGGGAAAGGCCTGCATTGTGCAACACTACTGTAGTTGCCTACTTACTGAGTTTTCCCTGGCGGACGTCCAGGCGCGTTGCTCCATTTACAATGAACTGAGGTGACGGACAGAGCTCCTAGAAACAGTATGGAGGAGGAAGGAGAGAGGAAAAATGAGACAGGGATACAGTTAGAGATGACGACAAATGAAACAGGATTTTGTGCGTGTGAACAACATCAGACCAAAGGGAGTGGCAGCTGATCAATAATCAGCTATCAGAACAGGGTGGCAAAAACTTGGCACAATATCTGCATTCACTCCAACAACACTGCCATCTAATCTAAAATCTTCTCTGTACAGTGCTGCCAGGTGAACCACAATGCATGATTAATCATTCTAAAAAAATATGATCACTTCAAGTTAGTACAAACAACTTTCAGGGAAATCCAACAGCACGATAAACCAACAGTTGGAACATTATAAGCTCAGTGAAGGGAGGATTTATTGCAGTGCTGCAGTCAATTTACTCAGGTGGACCAATCAGCCCTCAGCACGCAACTCAGGCTCAAGTCATTACATAACAACAGTTTTATAGGCCGACCGTCTTTTAATTTTTCCTGATTTCTGAAACATTTCTTTTTCTTGTCCTGTTTTATTCACTTGGGAAAGGCTTCATTAAAAAGGTTTAGTATTAGAGAACTAGTAGTAGTAGCCAAAGTGAAAGTTAGAATCAGAGCTTGACGTACACTGGATTTACAGTCACATGATACAGCCACTCTGGATAAGGTAATAGCATATAATACACACATTCAGGTACATGCATGTAATGTAGGGCCAACTGACTGACATTAAAAAATGTGTTTACATTGTGTGATTAAAACAAATGTTCCAGTAACAACTGTGGATATTAATGGAGGGTGAATGCTGCAAACAGCAGTCGACAGCTTCCTTCAGTCTCATCTTTTTGTATTTCATTATGGACCCAGTGAGCTACAAGACATTGAAGAGGGCACTGTGTGGACAGCGTGTAATGTAGGTGTCTGTTTGTATACGTATGTGTGTCAGTATACAGTTCCAGTCTAACAGGACCGGTGTGTATCACTGCTCTATAAGTGCTGTAAAGTCTGAAGATTAAAGAGAAACCCGCCAGATGTGGATGACACAGACCAGGAAGCTCTTCACATATTATTTGCCCAAACTATTAGTTTGGATATTCTAGATAAACATTTTATTACACTTGAACTGAACCTGTCGACTTACTTTACTGTAGATTTAGACTTTAGATTTTATCTTATGATATTTACACAACTAAAACTAGACTAACACCGCTCTGTAGTGCTCTTTGGCGTTGTGCTGTCTCAACAAGAAGAAAACATAATGACTGTCCAAGAATGTAAAAGACCTCCTTTAACCTACAGGACTTGGTCTTTAACTGACTTTTAGAGTCCTGTGGAACCAAACAGACGTCCACTCTACTGTTGTATTGGATTCATTACTTCTTATCAGTTAAATATGACACTCAGTAATCAGGTCTGACATGGTGTGTGTCCAGTTGTACTTTATTTTTCAGTGTTTTATGGAAATAACCTTTAAAGGTTTGTTGTAGGGAGAGCTAAAAGGTTATATCAGTCTAGCAGTTCTGGAATAAATGACACCTTTGTGAGCCAGAGAGGGTTTGACTTCAATCTGCAGGTTTTGAGGCTAGCCTAGATTGATGCATTAGACTGTGATGTAAGGATTCTTGTGGTTTTGTCCAGCCCCTGTACATGACTTTATGCATTATATTACACACTTAAAGACGGTATAAAATGTTAGTGCTCCTACTAGTCTCCAAAGTGTATAGTTCAGTGGCCTAAAAGCAACAAGGCCGTGATAGAAAACATGTAATCCTGTATATTTACTTTGATTCTGCCCGAGAGGAGCCGCTCTTATACGACGTAGAGATGTCTTCCTTTGATATATTACATATTGACTCAACACAGTTCAGTGTAAATAGCCCAGCAGGTTGGAGCTCATCTCGACCGAATCACGCCCTGCCCTAATTCTTAAGAGAAGAGAAGAGAAGAGAAGAGATACTGTACTTTATATTAAAGGTGAACATAGACAGCTATCGGTCTCTTTCTTCCCCCCAGTTTTTTCCCACAGGCTTTGTGTTTATTATGTCTCTGTTATTTCTTTCAGACACACCCATCTGAGATTGTTCCTCTGTCATGTTTTGAAAAATGATTGTCCAGAGGCCAAAAACGAGGTAGCATAAAATACCAGGGAATAAAACAAACAGGTTCACATCTGACACAAGGTTGTAATTATAAATGTTATATCTGACTCACAGAGATCAAAGTGTGATTCACTGATAGTAAATATTACAATATATACAATAATAATATATATATTATGAAGCTATGAAGTTTGTTTTCACTATCAACAGCTTTAACTGAAGCCGCCAACACTCGTTTACCTGCAGGATTTAATATTATTCAGGATATTTTATTCCATATTTCACAGTAAATGTGACTGTATTAGTGTATTAGTACTTTATATGAGTCCTGGGGTTTGTTCTTTATAGTAACTTAAACTCCACAGGTCAATTTTGTGTGCAACTTTCTACTTGTCTGTACTCGTGTGTCTCGAACCACAAAAGCGCAAGTACTTTTACACTTCTGCAGGTACATGTAATAAACTCAGAAAGCATTGTGTATTATCATAAATTAAACTATGAAACAGCAGAAAGAAGTACTCAGATCTATTACTGAAGTACAAGTAGAAATACCACTCTTGTATTCTATAATAATATACTTTATATAAGTAAAACTCCTGCATTCACAGTATTACTTAATAAAAGTATATAAACATATATATAACTGTTACATTAGAGGAGATAATCTTAACTATCTTGCATCATATTTCACAAGTTGATCATTTGTAGCTGTCAAATAAAGTGGACTAAAAGTAGAATATAACCCTCTGAAATGTGGAGTAGAAATACCTCAACATTGTGTTTAAGCACAGTACTGCAGTTAATACACTAGTTACTGTGACACAGTGTGTGCTGTAGATAGTTCACATGAACTCCACATGGACCAAGCACAACAGGCAAATGCTGTTTGCACCTGAATGCATCAACATAGCTCTCAGATGATCCATGCAAATAAAAAGGCCTGTACAGTGGCACTGTAGCATAACACTGTTAGTAATCCTATTAATACTAATACTAATATTAATATATTTCAGAAGGAGGAATTCCCATCTTTTCTTTTTACCTTTGGTCTTTTCCATTTCACCCTGCTGCTCATCTCCAGCTCTCCCAGGGGGAAGTTGTAGTCCACGAACAGTCCGTCCCGGCCGACCGTGTTCACGTCCCCGCTCTCCGGAGACATGTTCCCGGTCAGGAGGTCCGCCAGCCAGCGGCGGGACTGAGAGCCCAGCAGCTCGTCGGAGCAGACCGAGTCCACATCATCGTCCAGCGGAGGCAGGGAGCTCTCAGACGACACACTCAGCGACTTTTCCATGTCCAACCCGGTGTGTGCTCCTTGTTCAGCACTTTGTGAACTGAGCTTCCGACTCTGTGTGACTTTCACCTGAGCAGGTAACGAACGCACACAAGCCACGCCCCCTTGGAAAAGCACACAGGTAGACGCTCACCTGGTTCACTGCTGCAGGGCTTCAACTCTCTGACACTCCCAGGCGGTTTCCGGACTTCCCACACTGAAGAAAGGTTGTTCCAGTAAATGCCAAAGAACCCAGAACCAGCACGCAGTCATATCTGGAGCCCTCACACAAACATTCACCACAAAGTCCCCAAAACTCAGAGACCCTCACAGTCCCCTCTCTGAGAGAGACAGCAAGAGTTGAGAGAGAGAGAGAGAGAGAGAGAGAGAGAGAGAGAGAGAGAGAGAGACAGGTATTTGGCTCATTAGATGAAAACATAAACGTTACAGGCAGACATGAGAGAGGTTATCATCCCCTCATTCAACTCTCTGCCTCAAAGCCAATCCTTAAAGTTACAGTTAATGCTCATTGTTTGTCTATTGTGTGTAAATGTATTAATATAAAGAATGTGAAACATTGTTATATTATGTCATCAAAATAAAACAATCAGTCAGATTTCTCCCATAAATCACTGATAATGTAACAGATTACTTTAATGTAATATATTACCTGTTCAGTAGGTTTATCTTTATAATCCAATCTAATAAAAAGCCTGTGAACTGAATCATTGTGAGGATTTTAATATTCAGCTGATTCAAACCTGCAGCTCATATCTGAGGTAATAATTAGTGCTGGGCAGTAAGGCTGTACTAGTAATAATATTACTCGCCACAGTAACTAGCAGTGTAACTCATTACAAATAAAGTTGAGTAATAACATTACAGTTGTTAGTTATTAGTAATTAGTTACAATCTTACTTTTGTTGTCACTCTTAATGATCTGAAATCCAACAATCCAATTACATCCTTAATACTGACACTATTACTACTGCTACTATTACTGGTACAGGAAACTAGTGTGGAGATGGAAATATTCCCATTAAAATTTGATTTTAACAAACAAAACTCGATTGTGTGTTTAATATAACTAATTACTGTTGGCAGAGAGTAATAAGTAACACAAAACTGAACATTGTCAGCAGAAAAATCTGTTTCATCAACATTTTATTGGAACACTACGGCAGAAAACTTGCCACATGTGAAATCAATTACACACATCTGACCTCCAGGAAAACACAGAACAACCACAGACAGGATGACTAATGCCCTGATTCATTCATTCATTCAGGTTTTTATTTTACCACAAGGACAAACACGTATGATTTGTGGGAAGAACTGACACACACCTCCACTGCCAGGAGTTAAACTGTGTGGAAATAACAGCAGATAAAGTTCAGGCAAACAGACACAGGCTGGATAAATTATTTTTATTGAGAAAAGCAGAGATTATGAAAACAAATGTCCTGATTCAATCTGTCACGTCTGATGTGTGTGTGTGTGTGTGTGTGTGTGTGTGTGTTTGCATCACTGAGATGTGGCCATAATGCTGGATACACCTGTGAAAAGAAAAACAATAAGAGATGTGTGAGAATATTCAGCTTTAACGTCCAGATACAGAAACAAATAAAACACTCGGTGAGAAATATGAGACGGGTTTCTGTGGCAGCACTCACTCTCAAAGTCGATCTTCTCCACGATGTTCTTGGGCTTCACGCTCTCCTCCTGGTTGAAGATAAAGATCTGTCCTTCGTCGTTCTCCGTCCAACCGTACTTATTCATCCAGACCTTCACCTGCGTGTCTGAAAGTAAAACAAAAGTTCTGATTAGTGAAGCTTAAAAAGCTAAATCAGATATTTTCTAGAGGATAACTCGTTGTCTTAAGTTTCCAGACTCGGGTCAAAGTTCTTACCCAGCGGGTCTCCCAGCATCTCAGCCAGTAACCGGTGCTCGATGGTCTGGTAGGTGATGCCCACTACGTGGCAGATGACTGGACAGAAAGAGACAACAGACAGTGCTCATAATGTTGCTAATGTAAGACTGTAAGGACGTCCACTGTGGGGAGTCAGAAGACGATACTCACACTTGCGAACGGAGTCCTCGAAACCAGTAATGCCGTCGATGAGCTCTCTGTTCTCCTCGAGACTCGTCTGTCAGGAACAAGGAAGAGGACGAGATTAAATCACAGAGTGAGCAAACACTTGAGCGAGTTTGGAAACAGAGGAAGAAAAAAAGGGTTTCGGAACAACAAGGATTTCCCAACCAGGAAATGAGGAACGTAGTGAGGCAGTCAGCAGGAATTTAATGATGGATTAGTCAGCAATATGAAACAGGCAGCTGCGTGTGTGTGTGTGTGTGTTTTGTGTGTGTGCGTGCGCGTGTGTGCGTGTGTGTGTGTGTGTGCGCGCCCCGTACCCAGAAGCTCTGGAAGTGGCACGTCTCCAGCAGGTTCCCCAGGTACAGGATCTGCCTGATGGGGCGCTCCTCTTGCTGCGACACTGTAGTCAAGGAAACGCCTCCTGACCCTGAGACAGAACCCCCCCCCCAGCCTGGATCTATACTGTGTATTATGTCAGGACTAAATACAGGACAACCCTCTATATTTCACCCACTGAGCCCATCATAAAGACATCTGGCCCATAAACTAACACTTACTTTATACATACTCTATGTATACATATACTATAATACTATATAGAAACACTTAAAGAGTCTCAGTGTGAATAAAAATGGTCATCATGACGGATGGAGTCTCTACCAAACAGCATCCGCTCTCTGTACACCATCACACTGACCACGGATATTAACAGCACACACAACCCTGTTGGTCTGCGTTGGACAGCTCACACGTTACTGAATGGAAGCCACCAGGTACAGCCGGGGATGGGAATCCAGAACTGGTTCAAACAGTCTGATCTATGAGAACTGTAGGTCTCTGAGCTGATCTTTTATCGATGCGTCAAACTCATCTGCACTGCTGGAAGGAGTCCCGACGGAGAGAAAGAAAAGATCCAACGCGTGGTTTCGTTTCATGAAGAAAGATAAACAGTGTCTGTAAACACCAGCAATATGCTGACACGTCTTTCTGTGCAACACGGGCCTGAAGTCTAGGAATGCCTCGGTCAGAGCCACCAGCGCCACGGCTTCCTACCGGCGCCGCCTGTCCGGTACCGACAGTAGATATCCTACATTATAATAACATTATATTAAAGGGTTAAACAGAGTTCAGACTCAATACAACCGCCGTACTGATGCTGAAACCTGCGTAGGGTCTACTTTCTCCCACACTGATCAGGAATCGATAAACAATCGGACCAATAAAGAGAATGGATAACGGCACTGGTGTTAATCAGTTCCCACACACACACACACACACACACACACACACACACACACACAGGCAGATGAAACCGCACCAAAAGGATACGTGAGTCTGGTCGATCATGCACTTGCACAGGGTGAAGTCGGTGTGCGGCAGGTTGGTCAGAGCCTTCAGCAGAATCTGGGAGGTCACCTGAGTCTGGAAGTAGGCGGGGTTGAACTGGTACCTGCAGACACACATTACATCACGTGAACGTTTACAGTTACTAGAACTGGACGTCTCCTCTCGTTAGTCAGAGACGATACGACGGATTCTCCCACACAGACACTGAGTTAACGTACAGCTTCAGGACGGCCAGGTTGGCCTCCAGGTCGTAGGCGTTTTCTCTCGCTTGTGTCTCCACGTAGCGCTCCAGGGTCGCAAGGTTTTCTGGGTTGTACCTGAGAGAGACGAGATCACAACAGATCAATCAATCAATCAATCAATCAATCGTTTCTGAGTCTTGGACTTTTAATTCACAGCTTTAAATGCAACATCACGTCAGTGTGGTTTATAACACGAGATACACCCCGCTGTTTGTGTGCCACACCTCCAGACTGACACCAACAAAGCCCTTCATCTTATTTCAGTACAATAGAGTCTTCATCTTATTTCAGTACAACAGTCTTCATCTTATTTCAGTACAACAGAGTCTTCATCTTATTTCAGTACAACAGAGTCTTCATCTTATTTCAGTACAACAGTCTTCATCTTATTTCAGTACAACAGAGTCTTCATCACTGCGTTATTAAAGGCAGTCAGTGGTAACAGCAGCTGTCAACAGTGACTTTACATCGTTTAATAATCTAATACAGGACTTTAACAGACAGTAAATATGGCAGAAATCCTCGTTATCGATCTAAAAACAGGAAATGTTTGCGGTTCATTAGCTCGCTGGCTAGCTAACGTTAGCCTGTTGGCCGGTTATCGATCCGTTCAGAGCCTCATCGATACCTGTCGATTCCCCGCAGGAGTTTTCCCACGTTCGCCCTCATCTGCTCGAAAGACGACGTCATTTGGTCCAAAACTTTTCGAGGAGACTTTAAAGAGAAAGCCGGATTAAATCCACACGTGTGCCGCGGAGGGAGAGAGAGACGGGTCGGAAGGGAAAGAACGACGCACAGGCGGACCGGAAACTGTACGGACCCGCTCAACTGACGGACCGCTTCGGGGTAGCCTTGCTAACTGAAAGTTGTTTAAAAAAAAAATACGGTCAGCACTTCTTTGGCTGCCGTTGTTGGCGACGTCACTCTCGGCTACTCTATTTATTCTATTTATTTTATTGTCTTACTTCCTTTCCGGTTGCTTTAGTTTTTGGCCCTGTATTTTGAAAATATTTACCGGAAGTGTTGCAGTTACAGATTGTGACCACCAGATGGCGCCAAAACACCCGCGACTCTAAAGACACTGTACTGTATTGAATTTCCCGTGTTGCAGTTCCTCTTGTTACCACTAGAGGGCAGTGAACTCACCACTAATACTAATTATTAAATTAAATTAAATACATTACTCATTACTGTAAGTAATGTTATTACTTTACTTATTCCTCCCTGCTAGCAGTAATTAGTTACACTACTAATTATACGATACTAATGCGTCCTTTCTCCCCAAATTCAGACTTCACGACGTTTAAAATACAGTTTTGTTTGTTAAAATCAAAGTAATGTGAATGTTTCCATCTTCCAAACCACTTTCCTCAAATATTACGAAAATGAATCCACGTATGTGATAATTTCTTGGAGGAGTGTCTATATTATAACTGAATTAGTTCCAGTAATAGTGAAGAAAGGAATATTATTAGTAGTAATGAGTTACTACCTAACGAAGGTCTCAGTGTTAAATATTTAAATCGCTCTTCCTCCTCATGTGACGGCTGTACTCTTACTTTACAGCAATTATTATCAACAATATTTGGATGTATTGTTATAGTTTGTTATCTTTCACTTCTTTTTCAGTCTTCCACCGGCTTTATAAGAATAATACGGCAGCTTTAAAATGCTTATATGCTGTTAGGCTTTTCTTTTTTACATATTCATGAGCACCTTTTACACCATAACACCTCCCCCACTGTGCACTTGCCTGTATAACCACAGACCTAAAACGAATGGCACCTTTAATTTTCTGCTCCAAGCTGTCTGACATTTGCCCACAGTCTCAATAATGTTATGACAGCAACTTTCTCTTTCGATGTTCCTCCATGTAGGGAGGTGAAAGGGCAGGAACGAGCTACAGAGCGACCCAACCGGTGAGGGTCCAGGGTCTTCCTCGAGGTGGGTGAAACAAAGACCACCGACTTTAAGGACAGCTGCCCAAAACTCCCCGAATGTGAACGCAATAAAACAATAGAAGAGCCTGAAATCGACGATATGAGGCAGTACCACTTCTGTCCACAGGGGGCCGCCTGAATCAAAGCCGTCTCTGTTGCTGCTTTAAAAAAACTCACAAAAATTCTCAAAAATGTGAATATTTGCTGGTTTTCTGAGTCCGTTATAATATTAAATTAAATATCTTTGAGCTGTTGATCGGACAAAACAATCAATATAAAGATTTCAGCTCAGGCTTCGGGAAAAATTGTGATAGCGAACAGTTAATCAATTAAATAATTATCTATTAATTGAACATGATACATTCCAGGATGGTGTCTGAGCTATGAAAGCAGGCGTCTGTGTTTTTTGGGTCATCGAGCATGCTCAGTAGCATGTTTGTCTGAAGCTTCCTGTGGGCTCCCCGCACACTCAACGGCTCCTCTAGACGTTGCTTTTACTGGACTGATGTTTTTCCTATTGACAGCCGTTGTGCATCACGGCGCCGTGCTGCTCCCGGAGCTCGGTCTCCGTCTGTCTGTTTGTTTCCCTCGCAGCCAAACCTACAGACTGGAGGTCATAGGTCAGTGCCGTGGAGGACAACGTGCAAACTCCTGACCTCATTCCTCACCCATTCAGGTGTTACTGGTGCTTCGTGTTGTATTAATAGTTCCATCAGTTTGGGTCCCTGCGCTGCGTTGAGGTTGCGGCGGTTATTTGTGGTTAACTGGCCTCTGTTTGGTGTCTGTCACATGTGGGTGTTTGTGAGCCATGCTGAGAGAAATGAGACTGTAGGCAGACAGAGCAGGGGGATAAATGTCAAACGATAAAGATGGTTTCATGATTTAATGCCAAGACAGACGTAGTTTCTTCTTTGACTTAACCTTTTAATTAATAACACATTCAGACGCTTTATTGTCCTTTTTAATCTTCATCGTGTCACAGAGGTTCTTTGTAGATCAGCCGGTTCTAAACGCGGCGAGTAAAGTCGTAAATGAGGATTTGCATCTGTTTTTTGCGTCTCGAGAAGATGAGACAAGACGAAATGAAACTTTGAACATCCTGCAGCAGCAGCTCGCTGCAAGAGTAAAACAACCCGGCACAGAAAAAAATACAGGAAGCTATTGAGAAAATGTGATTAATATGATTTCATATGAGACACTGAAGAGGTTCTCTCTTTCTTTCTTTCTCTCTTTCTTTCTTTCTTTCTTTCCTTTAATATATTTTATCTAGCAGTACGGCTCTATAGTGTTCAGTCCTCCGTCTCCTCTCGTGGACAATAAAGTAACTGCTGGGAAATGTAGCTGCTATTAGATAGTTAGTTTAGCTGAACTGGCTGGGACTGTGTGCTCAGATCACTGTGGGAGTGTCGGTTGGTGTGGTGGTGTGGTGGGGGGCAGACGGCGAGCTGGCCTCCTTCCTGTTGGACTGCTCAGTAATATCAGCTGCTTGCTCGGTGTTGTGTTGTTGCACTCCTGCGTGATGTTTGGCTGTCGATCAGAAGTAATCTTACAGCATCGATCAATACACCTGTCCATATTTACAACCGGGGACGCCAAATCTCACCAAGTGTTGCTTTAAATTTCATACATTCACGTGTGTATGAAAGGATGAATTGTAACTGAATACTAATAGTGCCATTATCACGTCGACACAAGCTTGTGTTTAACAAATGTTAGCAGTGAGTGGGTGCGTGAGGAGAAGCTCTACGAAGAAAAATGAAGCACCATAGCGATGCGATGACGACGGAGTGAAACCCAGAACAACCAGAGACAATCCCCGGTTACATGAAGCTCTTTCTCCTCCTGAAAAACTCCTCTTCTGACCCAGTAACCTGCAGGTGGAAATGGAGTTAACTAGTCAGCGTCAGCTCAGTTTTTTTTGTGGAACGGTAAACTCTGATGTCCTGATAATGATTAATCTCTTCTGAAGAGATGGAGAGTGGGAGATTGATCAATTTGTCTTTACCTGCACACCCTAAAAATATCCAACTTGTACTTTGAGTAATTTATTAACCAGTTAACCAGATCTGATGTTCAGGCATGTAAATGCTACATTCAGGCTGTTTGAAGTGATTAAATAGAAGAAATAACAAAGAGTTTCCAGAGAAGATACACACAGCTGATAAAGTGACTTTAACTTGCTAACAGGATGTAACGGGTGCCCCTTATTTATCAGCAGGGAAATGCTTCTGAACAGGAAGCTGACAGGGAGCTCCAAGCACGAGTGACTCTTCTTGCAGAGCTGCAACACACACACACGCACACGCACACGCACACGCACACACACACACACGCACACACACACACACACACACCACACACACACACACACACAGACACACTCACACAAACAGACACTCTTCAGTAGGCGTGAAGCTGAGACTGAAACTTACGCTGAAAACCCCAAACAGCACAACTGTCACTGTTGTATGTTCATCCTCACATGCACAGAAACACACACACACACACACACACACACACACACACACACACACACACACACACACACACACACACACACACACACACAAATCTGTAAAACATTGGACATAAGAGCCTAACAATCTGTCTCTGCCTGTCTCACATGCACACAGCCAACAGGAAACAGAATTGGATTATGCAAATGAACAGAAAAAAATGCTTGAGAGGAAGGTGTGAGGGAGGGAGGGAGGGAGGGAGGGAGGGAGGGAGTGACAGAGGTAGGGAGGATCGATAGCAGGCTCAGAAAGAGAAACAGGAAGGTGTGTGTGTGTGTGTGTATGTGTGACAGCAGTCGACAGAAGCCAGAGAGACAGAGTGTCTTTTCTCAGCAGCTCACTTCTTCTGAGAGTTTATCTGTTTTGTATATGTAGATGCCACCGAGTGTGTGAGTGTGTGAGTGTGTGTGTAGAGAGAGAGAGAGAGAGAGAGAGAGAGAGAGAGAGAGAAAGAGAGTGTTTGACATGCCTGAGGAGGAATATTAGTCACATGAACAACAGAATGGATTTCCAGCATCGGGCAGCTCTGGATATCTCCACCAGGAACCCTCAGGATGATTTTGAGATGCTGCTGAGAGTTGGAGGCGGAACCTACGGAGAAGTTTACAAGGTCAGAGCGTCTGTTTCATTGTGCTGCAGCTGAATGTCACCGATCTCTCTTCTGAGTTTCACTTTATATCACTGATTCAAGTTTGTGACAAGTCTGAAAAAACATCTTTATCTCTCTCTCTTTATATATATATATATATATATATATATATAAAACTTTTTCTTAAAACATTTAAAGAATCGAAGTTCTATTTTAAGATCAAATGCAAATTCAAGGCGGTAAAAAACTCATTAGTGAATTGGTTCAGAAGGGGATGTGTGGCTGCTAGCTCAAATCAAGCATGTCTTACTTCTGCCTGTTCAGTTACAGTGGAAAACAGAAGTTTACATACACTGTATAAAAAGGACACATAATCTATTTTTTCACTCTGTCTGACATTAAATCAGATTAAACTTTTCCTGTTTTAGGTCAATTAGGATTACCAAAATTATTTCTATTTGCTAAATGCCAGAATAATGAGAGAGAGAATTTTTTAGACAATGTTTTTATTACTTTCTTGAAAGTCATTAGTTTACATACATTTCATTAGTATTTGGTACCATTGCCTTTAAACTGTATGACTTGGGTCAAATGTTTTGGATATCCTTCCACAAGCTTCTCACAATAGTTGGCAGGAATTTTGGCCCATTCCTCCAGACAGAACTGGTGTAACTGAGCCAAGTTTGTAGGCCGCCTTGCTCGCACATGCCATTTCAGCTCTGCCCATAAATGTTCAATAGGATTGAGATCAGGGCTT